AGCTCCCCTCCACAGGAAGTTGCTTTTATTAAGGTTTGTTGTGTGTTTTTTTTTTTTAATCTCTCTCTCTCTCATTCTCTCTCTCTCCCTCCTCCCCGCCCCCTCATAAAGTTCCATCTATCGGTCATCACCAGGCAGTGAGCTGGGCTTCGTGGGCATTTCTGTTTTTTGCCGGTTTGCCTGGAACTCACGATTACATCTAAACCACAGTGATTTGCCCAACACAGAGGCAAAGTTGAACAGCTGAAAGTGGGTCACCCACATCTCCTGGGCAGAAGAACCCCAAGTAACCTACAGAGATACTCTCTCCTCATAGAGGGAGCATGACTCCCCACTCTCTATGTGGACTAAACATAATGATTTCCTTCCAAAAAAGATAGTGTGGCAAGGGGAGCGGGCGAGCAGCTCTGCAGCGATGGAACAGAACAAACGCGACCTCAGCCGGATGGCGATCAAGGTCAACATCAACAGTGATGAGCCATGTTGATAGCATGTATACCTTGGTACCATGTGATGAGAATGACCCTCTACCTCCATGATCTTCTCCCCAAACCCATAACTCCCATTGAACCATGAGAAAAACATCAGACAACCCTCAATTTAGGGGACCAGTATTCCATCAAAATACCCGACCGGTATTCCATCAAAAATAAGTCTGAGAAAATATCTCAGCCAAGCGGTGCCTAAAGAGACACAGTGACTAACAGTCGCTTATTCTGGAGGGAATCCTGGCACAGGAGAAGGACAGCAGATAAAAAAGGAATGAAATCTAAATGAAATGTGGAGCTCAGTTAATAGTAAGTAATGTACAAAGGAATGTTGGTTCCTTTGTTGTGAAAAATGGACCATCGTGATATCCGATGTGAACAATAGGAGAAACTGGGTCAGGGGTAGACGTACTACCTCCACCAGTATTCTAAAGTAAAAGTTTATTTTTTTTAAAGTGGTTCTCATGTTTGCATTTCAGGCAACCCCAAGACCCAGTTCCCTTTGGTTCTCTCCTTTTGCCCCATTAAGGATCTGAGCTGCTGACTTTGGGAGGATCCAGACCCCAAGCTCTCAAACTGATTTCCTTTGGAACTGTCATCCTTTTCAAACCAGAGAAAGCTCTGGTTTCCTCACCAGTGCTTGCCCAGTGAGCCTGGCACAAGCTCTTTTATAAAGGGCGGGGGGGGGGTGTCCAAGCAGAAAGCCAAGCTCCTCCTTTCCTAGGGCACAAAGTCATACCTGTGAGTCTCCATTCAAAAGAGGGAAGACTTCTGACAACCTGGTTAGAAGGGAAGGGAGACTTCTCCTGACGCTGCCTTGGAGAGAATGCACACAGATTTACTTAGGACTGGATTTGTTGGGGGCTTTGGGGAGCTGATGGAGATAATGAGAAGCAAGCGGTCTCCTCCACTCCCCCCCAACCCCCACGGCGATGCCTTCACTGCCCCTTAGTACCCTTGGGCTGCCAAAAACCATCTGCAAAGAAGCTTTGTGCAACCAGAACTGTTTGCTAGGTCTTTAAAGTCCATCACCTGACACACAGTAGGCACTTCACATATGTTCACACATTAATGGCTACCATTTATTACGCACCAGGCCCTGTGCTGGGGAGGAGAAAGGGGGTCCTGTTTAATTATGCGGTAGGCATTTTGTCATCCTCATATTACAGAGGCCCAAAGAGCTTGAGAAATTGGCCCCAAGTCATAACTAGAAAGCATTGCAGAGAAGCTTCCTGTCCAAGTCATTTAAGTCCTAAATTCTTGACCTTTACTCACACCAGCCACCCTAATGCAGGCCCCTTTCCCCTGGCCCCCGGGGCCCCAGAACTTGCTGCCCGCTGTCTGCAGAGGCTCCCGAGCTCACTCCTTCATCTGTGGCCTTCAGGCAGCAGTAATTTTCTAGTCTCTTTCTTTTAAAACTTAATTTGCCAATTTCCCCCTTGGAGGTGCTTTTTGATATTCCTTCAGGCTGTCAGCCTGGACAGGCCACGGAAGCGGAATCCAAAGAGATGGATGCTTATTACAAGCATTCAATTAGTGGAGTTTGAATAATGCAGCCCCGGGTGCCCCATCCATGCAGGGAGGCTGAGACGCCCTCCCCCACCTCCGACTATTAATGGCCTTTCTCATATTTATTGCCACCTAACCAGATATCCTGCACTTGGTATAATTTGATATCTGCCCAGTCCCCAGAGTGCCTTCTCAACAGATGTTTACCCCAATGTTGGAGTGGATTTATAAGATTTATATTCCCTTTTGCTGAGTGGAGTCCTCAGGAAAGGCAGACTCTGTCTTCCCAGGCAGAGAACCCTGCCTTGGCTGATGGAGTGGCCTCCAGCAGGAACATTTTAATACATCACTTATTAAAATGGACCTGGAGCCTTGGCCAAGGGCTCCCACGCTCCCCCCTTCCCAGCAGAGGGCAGCTCTGGGCCTCAGCTGACCACATCCAAGCCCTGCCTCCCTCTGACCCTGCACACAGTTGTCTGCTATGCAGAATAGCAGGAGAGCCCAGCCTGAAAACAACAAACCAACAAAAGGACCTTTAAGGCAGAAGGACAGTGGCCGCAGCTGGGAATGAGCCTGGACCTTGGTTGAGATGACTCTGCATCCCCATCCCAGCTTGGGCTCTGGGTTCCGGTTCTTCCCCAGGGACTTACTAACTGAGTGACCTCATACAAGTTACTTAATGTCTGAGCTCTGACTCCTTCTGCACAATCAGGATAATACTGCCTACTTCACACGGCTATTGTGAGTGGGCGAACAGTAAAAGCTTAATTAATGTGGGCGTGGCATCATGTCCCTTTCGCCCCTCTGGGCTTGTCAGTTCCCTCACATACTAAATGGAGTTCAGGGTGGTGGGTTTCCAGGGCTGCTGGACCAATTATGTGGGATGGAAGGAGAAGAAAGCACTTTGAAACTGCAGAGTGCTTTGATCAGGTAAGCGGTAATTACTCCTGGGTGCAACCATGTCTGCCTCCTGAAAGGGCCGTTCCATATGGCCCCCACCTGTCTTGGCAGATTGATGGCGCACCGAAGGTGGGCCCTGCCCCTAACTCTCTGCAAGGCACCCCTCGCCTTCTCGTGGGAAAAGCTGGGCTCCGGGACGGCTCAAGGCCCGTTAGCTCTGAGATGCTGGGATTCCCTGGGGTCAGCAGAGAGCAGAGCCAGGCTTGGGGACAGGGTCGTGTGCCTGGGAAATCAAGCTGGCATTCCCAAATCACCCTGCTGGCACTGCCATTGCCAGCTTGCCTGCCACCCCTTATGACTGATGGGATGGCGAGCTCTCTGCTGGGTCCTCCTGAGCTCTGGGCCTCCGCGGCCTGGGAAGGGAGCTGAGACACCACCCTTCCCCCCAGGCCTTCCGGAACCTCGCTTTCTCCCCCCCCAGCCCCCACCCCAGGGCCTGTCTTACCTGATGTCTGAGTCACAGGCAGGCTCCTGTCACTGTGAGCTGTGTTGTGACTCCCAGGCTGACAGTTTTACAACAAACACATTAAAAGCTCCCGGCAGTGGGGCTCCTGAATGTGGAACAGTCCAGGAGAAAAAACTCTCCCTGCCTTCCTGCAGCCAAAACACTTCTCTAGACTCCTCCCGCGGGGGCCTGCTCTGTCTATTAACTGCCCTGAACACAACTAGGGGCTGAGACTTTTTTAATAAGGAGACTTTCTGAGCCGTGATTGCAGGAAAACTGCTGAGTGAGGAAGCCTGAGACATCCCAGGCTGTGGGCCCCAGATGACCAGTCCCATCCCTCCTGCAGGGACCTGTGAATTCAGGAGGAAGGGGAGGAGCCCTAGCGCCTCTCAGCCCTGCCTTTGCAGACAGGTGGCAGGATTATATGGACCAGAGCATCCTGAGTGCTTCATGCACTGGGTGTTGTGTTAATCCTCCCAACAACGCTATAGGTGGGAGCTGCATTATCCCCACTTTACAGATTTGGAAACTGAGGCTTAAAGAAGTGAAGGGACTTGCTCATCTATACAGTCAGGAAGTGAAGCACTCTGTCAGCCTCCAAACATTGCTCTTACAAAGACTGACCACCTCCCAACATACCACCCTTCCTTCTCGCCACATCCCACCAGGGATGGCAGAAACCTCAGGGAGGCAAGGAGAGCCCAGTGAGAATCCACACTGAAGGAGCTTGTTCTTCGGGGGTGGCCTTCCCTGTCCAGCTGGTCTTTCCAACCATCTGAGCCCAACCCACAGCGCCCTCCACGTCACCTTTTTGCTTCACAGGCCAAAGCTCCCCTTCACTCCTTCCTGTCCCCACCCCCCACCCCCACCCCCAAAGCAGAGAGGAGAGGAGTGAGACACAGGAACAGTTCTTTTATTGTATTGTACATCGGAGAAATAGCCCTGTGTGCTGGTTAAAGGTGCAACATACAGAATATCGAATTAAGAAAAGAGGAACAGGGAAGGGAAGGGAAGAAACCTCTTGAGGTCCAAAGTTGCAAACAAAAAAAATGGTAAAAGATTTCCTCACGCAAGAGGCATTTTTGCAAATACCATGCAAAACAGGCAGCTGGTGTGCCTTAAGAGAACCCCTATAAATAACAGAAAAGACACTCCAAGCATTCCTTTACGTGGACTCAGAGCACAGGGAAAAGGAAAAGAAACCAAAATGCCTTTTGGCATTTCAAGATATTTGGCACTCTTGTGATTACATTTTTTTTTACAGTCCATTTAAGAGAATAAACTGACACAATATTAGAGGAAAAAACAGGCTGCTCACACAACGGACTGCAGAGAGAGGTTAGAAAAAGCTCAAGCATTTTTTTTTTATGGTTTTTCTTTCCTGACATATAAAATGTGTCCATTTGCATTAACTTGGGCAAATAGCTTGCAGCAACAAAGAAACACAAGCTTTACAATTCATTTTAAAATAAAACAAGGATTCTTTCTATGTATCATTCCTTAAGAAAAGTTCTCTTCTTATTTTAAACACATTCCTGATAACTCTGAATGATGACCAAAATAAAACAAAATATCTATACTGATCATTTTCTGGGTGGTTTGTTTTTTGTTTGTTTTTTTTTTTGTACATCCAAGGATAGCAACATAAAAAAATAAAACTTAACAGCATTTCACATCCAAGTGCACAGAATAATTTTTGCAAGATTAAATAATGTAAACATTGGGAACAGCCAAATCAGCAAAGAATGCCAACACCTCAAAACACCCGGTGTTGCCGCTTCATTATTTAAGTGGTTCAAAATCCAGATCTATAGTTGCGCAATATTCACTGTATATAATAAGAAATTGATATTAATTTTGACAAATAGCTGCAACTGAGACTTCTTTTTTATTTCTTTATATGTGTGTGTATAGTGATTTTGTTATTTTTAAAATTTTTATTTTTGCAGAGGAGCCCAGAGCCGCCGCCGCCGCCGCCTCCTCCTCACGCCTCCTCTGTCTCCCGGCCTGACACGAGATACAGGTTGTTGATTTCATCGCAGGTAGCAAGCTAGTAATAAATTTCCAAGTGCTTTCTCTTTTCACGCTCTTTTTGCCAATAACTGTTACCGCCGTTCTTATTCTTATTCTCTCCCTTAACTCATTGTCTTTGGGGGAGTTAGACACCAGGAGGTGCCTTGTCTGTCATATTTTTCAGCACGTCATCAATTCTATCATCTTCAATAACAACTGCAAAAAAGAGGGGAGAAAAAGAAAAATGAGCGCGCTGGGCCTCGCCAGGGGTCTCGGTTGAGCCCGGGAGCGGGGAGAGGCTGGCGAAGGGCGGGGAAGTGGGGGCTCCTCGCGCGCAGACACAGACCCGTCCTCTCCGGCCCCTGCCCGGGGTCCCCAGCCTTTGACCACTCCCCCCACCCCCTGGCTGTGTCCCCGCTCAGTTCTAAGAAAAGGAAACAGAGAGGGCGCACATCCCGCGGCCCGGCCGCTTCCACACCACCCACCCCACCCCGGGGCGCGTTTATTTAATGAAAAAAGCCACCAGGGCCGAAGAACGGCGCGAGGAGCCAAGGTCTCCGGGTTGAGGACCCTCGAGGACGCATCAAGAGCGGCGCGGGGAGGGGAGCGACGCCAGGGGCCGGTTCCCTCGGCGCGCAGCCGACCCCGGGATCCGGCCTCGGCCGGGCGGGCGACCCGCTCCCGCGCGGACTCGTCCCCCCGCGCGCTCTCCCCTCGGCCGCAGAGGTCAGAGCCTCCGCTCGCTGCGTCCACCGCCTCTCTCGTCCTGTCGACCCAGTCTCGCCTTCCTCTATCCCTCCGTCAGTCTCTCCGTGGCGCGATCGTCACCTGTCGAGGTCTCCCGGTCTCTCTCCGTGTCGGGGGTGTCGGTCGCCCTCATTGTTTCAGCTGCTTCCCTGCCCTCCCCAGACTTGCGTCCTCGCTCGCAGCCTCTCCCGCTCTGGCTCCCTCTCCCGAGCTTTGTCTCGGTCTCTGCCCATCCCGGTCCCCACCCCCAACCGGCTCCCCCATCTCTGCGCCTCGGTCTCTCCCGGCTGCTGTCGGTCTCCCTCACTGTCCCCGCGCCTCTGGAGCCCCTCTCCGAGCCGCTCTGGGTCCCGGTCTCTCCCGGGCTTTTCCAGCTCTCGCGCTCAGCGCCCAGGTTCGGCAAACCCCCACCCCCTGCCAAGTCACAATGAAAACCCCGAAAGCCTCTCAGAAATGGGGTCCTCGTCCCGCAGTTCCACACGCCGTCCCTTGGGGAGTCCTGGGACACCCCCCACCCCGGTCATAGATCGAGTGCAGCTGCGACTACATTGCGCAAAGGGGAAGGGGGTGTAGAAATCGGAAAGCAAACTTTGGCGCGGGTGGGGTCCCATATAATCTTTCAGCCCTCGCTGCAGCTGGAAGCCGCCACGCCCCCTGGGTGACCCCACCGGGGACCAGGCTGAGCGGGAAGGATTCCCACGACCCGCCGGAGCCGGACCTGCAGTGCGGGATCCCCCGGTTCTGCTCGATGGGATTCCACTGAGCCGGGACGGGTTGCCGCGTGCGGGGAACCCCCCGCAAACCTCCGACAGGCTTCAGTGCCCGAGAAAAGCGGTTCCTGGAGAGGAGGCCGCGAACTCACCCCGCTTGCTCCGGCCGATCTGGCCCAGCTTGGGCGGCCGCTTGTTCTGCCCGGCGCCGAAGAAGTTGTTGGTGTCCTGCAGGCGGCAGGAGAAGATCTGGCCCACGTCGCCGCCGTCGCCGTAGGGGCTCAGCTTCTCGTCGCCGTAGGGCAGCACCTCCGACATGGTCGCGTCCGGGGGCTCCGCCGCGGCGCCTCCTCCTCCCGCGTCCCCGCCCGCGGCGGACAGGGTCAGCGGCGCTGGGGCCGGGGACGGCCGGCCGGGGACGGCCCGCGGGCTGCGGCGGCGGCTGGGGCGCCGGCGAGCGGAGGGGGGACACCGCTAGGGCAGGAGGGCGCAGCCCGCCCGAGCGACCCGGCGAGCGCCCGCCGCCGCGCTGCGCCGCGCTGCGCTGCGCTCCGGTTCCGCGCGCGAGGGGCTGCTGCTCTGGCCGAGGCCGGCAGGACTCACATCCTCAGCGCGCTCGGGCGCGGGGCGGGGGCCGGGCGGGGCGGGGCCGCCAACCAAGGGGAGGAAGGCTGTCCCAGCGAGCCCCGAGGGCGCGAGGCCGAGGAGGGCACCCTCCGGGGAGCCGGCGGGCCGGTCCTGCGGCGAGTGCAGGCGGCTGCGGCGCAGGTTCGGGAAGGCTGACTGGGGAGCTGAGCGCGGCGGGGAGGCGAGGGGCGGAGAGGGAGGGAAGCGAGGGGGGGAGGGAGGGCAGGAGGTGGGTGGGTACCGGCGGGGGGGGGGGCAGTGAGAGCGACTGAGAGGGAGACGGGGAAAAAAAAACAGAGACCGAAAGAGAGGGAGGGAGGCAGGAGACTGGACAAAAAGAGACCGGAGAGAGAAAGAGAGGAAGGAAAAGAGGAGAAGAAAGGGGGGAGGGAACGGCTAGATCCGGATCCGAGAGGCAGAGGCAGAGAGGAGATGGAAAGGGAAAGAAACGGGGCGTGGGGGGTGGGGGAAGGGGGGGGAGAGAGAGAGAGAGAGAGAGAGAGAGAGAGAGAGAGAGAGAGAGAGAGAGGGAGAGGGAGAGGGAGAGAGAGGGTCGGGGAGGGAAGGAGGAGAGTGAGCGAGCGAGGAGGGCGCTGGGACTGCGGAGCCCGCCTGCCAGCAGCTGCAAGCCAGGAACGCCGGCGGCGGCGGCGGCGGCGCGGAGGGGAGGCACGGGCGGAGCGCACAGAGGGCGGGGAGGCGGGGGCCCGGGGCCTCGGGGAGAGATCCCTGGAAGCCGAGCGACGTCACGGGGCCGCGCCGGCCGGCCCGGGCCGCGGCCGCCTTCCTGCCCCCGCCCCCAGCACCCTGCGCCCCGCCCGCCCGGAGGGGCCCCCGGCTAGCCCCGCCCCGGCCTGGCGGCCTCCGCGCGCCTCCTCCCCACCCCCGCGCCCCTCCCGCCGCGTGTTTACCCGTCCCCGGGCCGGTGCCCAGCGGCTCCGCGCCCGACCCGCCTGTTCCGCCCCCCACCCACCCCGGGAGGGAACATGGGAGGAGTGGGGCTGCGGGGAGCGGGAGGGGGCGCGGACAGACGACACACACTCCGGGGAGGACAGGTGGATGCCGGTCTCTCCCTAGAGACCAGATGCTGGAGCAAAAGGTCGGAGGGCACCAAGGTGACACCCGGACACGGCCTCCCCTGCGAGCCGCATACCGGGGAGCCCCTAACCCCCCACCACACTTGGGCCCCACTTCGGAATCTCCGGGCCTGGCCCCTTGGGGCTCACGCTCTCCCTCCCCCACTCCGTTCGCCCTGGAAGGCCCGACGCTCCGGCTCCCGCGGGGCCGCTGTGTGGAGGCTTGAGGGGGGGCGGCGGGGGACGAGGAAAGGGGCAGCCCCGCCTCAGAGGAGAGGGGAGCGCCTCCTGCCGCCGGGCTCGCCCGGGATGCCCGGCTCTCAGCATCCGCTTCCTCAGCCAGGGACGTCCCGGGCCGGCAGCCCTCTGCCCTCGGGGACCTCCCTTCCAGCAACAGCCAAAGCCCTTGGGAGAGACTGTGGCTTCTGAGCGGAGGAGCGGGGTCCCTGATCCCAGGAGTGAAACTGGGGCCACCCCAGAGGCCCGGGAGGCGCATCTGCCAAGCAGCCTTTAACTCCGAGGGGGCAACGTGCAGGAGGAGAGCTTGTTGTCCTCGCCCAGAGCCAACAGCACCTGCTCTCCCCCTGGCGACAGCGCTCACTCAACAGAGCTAGCCGGGCCACGGAAAGATGCAGCGTCCCTCGGGGTCAGGCTACCTGCTGAAGGCAAGGTTAGGAAAAACACCTAGGTTGTTCCGGGGAGGTCTGCACTGGCTCCACCGACGGCCTTGCAGGAGAGCTCATCCGTGAAGGAGTATCCTCGGGTGCCCTCTCCTCTTAATTCTAGAGCTCTGGGGGCTGGAGGGAAAAGGGGAGTTAGTGATACCACGTCTGGTAGAGAGGCTGCCTGAGAGGAGCCGGCCCAGCCTCCTCCCCAAACTGTTTTTAAAAATCACCTGGCCTCCAGAGACCAGGCACCTTGTGGGTAAAGGGGATGAAGGGGGTTGAAAAATGGGACACAGAGGCAATGTGGCAGATGGAATGAGGGTGACCTTTGCATTCAGGCCTGGGTTTGAGTGCCAGCCCTGCCATTTGCTAGCTGTGTGACTGCGCAAGCCCTGTCCCCTCTCTGAACTTCCATAATTTCAGCTGTGAAGTGGTGTCTGTGACCGGTGACCTGCCGGTGTACCTCAGAGGACTGTTATGAAAACAAAGCATCAGGCTCTCCACGCCTGACCAGGAGTGGCTCTGTACTAAACATTTGACAAATGACTTGGAAATGAGTGAGAAAGAACAGTAGCACTTCCTTCATTCCCATTTCAGAGCCCACAGAGCTAGGCAGACCCTTAGAGATGACCCAGCCTGAATCCTCCTTTATAAATGGGGAGACTGAAGCCCAGAGAGGGTCAGGGGCTGGCCCCAAACCCCACAGCTTGTCAATGGCAGAGGCGCAGGTCTCCAGCCTCCCTTTGCTCCTCTTGGCCAGCCATCTGTCTCCATTCATTAAGGCTTTAAGTGTCTGCTTTGAAGTTAGCACCAGACCAAGTGCTGGGAGAGAAAACAAAAGCCTAACAGGTAGGATGATGAAGGTTACAAGGAGAAGCTCATGCATTTGTATCATGCTTTCTATTTTCCCCCAAAGCATTTTCACATCTATTATTGACTTTGCTTCTCAAAATAAATAGCTTTTGTGGTAGAAAGAGATGTGGCGTCCCTGTGTAACTGATGTAGCAGAAAAGATAAGTGACTTGCCAAGGTCACAGGTTAGTGATGGAACATGGAGAAGCCACTCTTCCCAGCTGTGACTTGGGTGCTTGTAGGGGAAGCCCCATAGAGGTGACAGCCTGCCCTGCGGGGACTGCCACACCCATCTCATGCCCACCCAGCCCCCTCCTTGCTGCTGAGCTATGAAGCGGTTTACATGTTGAGCATCCGCCGTGGCGCCACCCTCCAGAGGGTAAGCAGAAAGGCACAGAGAGGAATGACACATCCCTGCACACACAGCAGGAGAGAGCAAGGAGCGAAGCCGGGTTCTACACCCCATGTTTTTATGTTGACCTGCCTTGTTCCAATAAGGCTAACAGCGCAGCACCACACCTTCCTAACTCAGTTCCCACCTGCTTGGCGAACCGCACACCCGTCTCAGGCCTGTAACACTTTACAGGTAGAAAAGCATTTGTATGGCTCATTACCTCCTTAGAGGCTTCCATGCAGAAGCAGCAAGGTTGGGTCAGCCAGGCCCATTTTACAGATTAGGCACCTGAAGGTTGAAAGCAGTGTCACCAAGGTCACAAAGAAGTTCTGCCAGGGACAGTGCGAGTGTGTATCAGTGTGGATTCCTCCACTGCCATTACTCACAACCAGTTCCATTACAGCAACCTTGCTCAGTTCTCTATTTCTTCCAGCCTTCAAGGGGGCATCCCTCCCTCCTGGAGCCTTAGACCTGGATGCAGACATGTGCTTCGGCTCCATCCCTGCCTCCCTGCCCCAAAGGGAGCCTGGCTCAGATGACCAGGGCTGTGCCGAAGAAGCCAGGTCCCGATGGAGGAATGGACCAAGGGAGGCAGGAGTGGAGGCTGCCTCCCCACCACCCCGCAAGGCAGCCTGGCAGTACACACTCTGGTGCAGGAGCCCAGGGTGAACAGGGCAGCCTCCCCGGTCAAATCCCCAATCTGTCATTTCCTAACTCTGTGATCATTTCACCTCTTTGTTCCTCCATTTCCTCATCTGCCACATGGATGTAATAATTGTTCCCACTTGAGGACTTGTGGCAGGGAAGGAGATGGTGCGTGCATCAAGTGCTGACACATGGTGCGCCTTCAATAAATGGACTTACCAGTGTCAGCTGTTGACTCTCTTTATGTCTTTGTGGTCTTGAATAAACCAACTCTCTCCTCTAGGCCTCTGATTCCATATCATAAACTGGGAAACTTGGAGAAAGTCCCCTTTATTTTTCAGCTGCAAAATCAGCCAGTTCTAAATCTAGTTAAAACCTTCTTGAGGCAAAGGTAGGGGCTGGCTTCCCCCTCACACATCACCCTAGAACTTTGCAGAACTGAGACCCGCAGAACCGGACCACCACCTCCGTGGGCCCTTTCAGCACAGTGCTGGTGGGGTAGGAAAGGGAGGCTCTGTCCCAGTGGTGCCCAGTGCAGAGCACATGCCCCTCCACATGTTAGTTCCCTTCGTTTCCTTGCCCTGTCCAGGTGGGGAAACTGAGGCACAGGCAGCAACATCGGAGACCTGGAGAAGAGTGGCTGTTGGGTACCTCGGCCCTGATGAGGGACATCAGCTGGCAGCTCAGGCCGAGGGTCCCATGGCAGGGCGGGGGGCGGGGGGGGGCGCGGGGCGCCAGGGGGGCGGGGGCTGGGAGTGCTGAGCCTTGCTGGGGTGGCCTCCACCCCTACCTGTCAGCAGGGGAGGCCAGGTGCAGTGTCAGTGGCCAGCTGGTTGCCTGCAGAGAGGCTAAGTGGCCTCCCAGCAGGGGACTGCCGCTCTGAGCCTGGATGAAACCGCCCCTCCCCCATCATCACCACCCCTCTCCACTCAGTGACAGGAACCCGGGTGCAGCCAGTTCCCCACCTGCCTGGAAAGGCAGGGCCTCTGCCCCCACATCCCCACGTGCAACACAAAGGCACAAAGGCACACAGTGAGAGAAAGCATGTCAACCGGCTAGAGGTGACTCACACCTGGACTCAAGGGACCACGACAGGAGAATCATTCATCTTCCCCTCATTCAGCAAACATCTGTTGAGGACTTCCAAGGCAGACACAGCCCTTCCCCCAGTACAGCTCAGGGAATATTCGCTTCTTTTCTTTATTTGTTTAATCATCATCACTTTCTTTACACAAAAATCTCCAGGAACCTCAATATAGAGGGTCCGGCACAAATAACGCCCCTTTCCCCTTTTTTG